CTAAGAATGCATGTTTTAAATGAGATGGAAGTTGTTTTAATTCATGCTTGGGTGGTTCCTTTTCTTTTTCATTCAGGATGCTTGGTTCATTCATATTATTTTTGACATGCAGAGTGCTTTCCACACATTCATCAACAACATCAATTCTAAAACAGTCTCCATAATCCATAGGAAGTTTACAAGATTTAAGCACATCAAATACAATCTTTTCCTGTCCAACTCTTAGAGTCAACTTACCCTCATAAACATTAATTAATGCTCTTGCAGTTGCAAGAAAGGGCCTTCCCAGAATTAGAGATCCTTCGCTGTCCTCATCAATGTCAAGAATAACAAAATCAACAGGTGTGAATACTCAAATTTTGAGTCTCAAAAAGCCCCTTTTCTCGGACTGCAAACAGTCCGGCCGGAGAAGCCTCCGGAACGAAAAAAAAACTTGAAACGTCCGGGACATCACGAGGATCGCGGAACTGGTCCCGGAATTTTTTTCGGAGGTCCGGAGCTCCCGGAAAAGCCTCCGGAGCAGCACCTTTAAATCATGCCAAAGCGTTTTCAAAGCAGATTACCAATGTACAAGGGATAGAAAACTTTTCCTGGCGTCTTTTAACTGCGAAGCAATTGTTTTGGATTTAATTGCACTGCACTCCTCGGTTTAACATTACCGTTTCTTGATCATCAATTTTTCGTTTCTTGCTCAAGATATCCTTTAGGAATTTTAGCATTAGCTAGGCATTTGAGCAAGAGCTTCAGCAAAAGGGAATATTGAATTTGGAGCTTTCTTTAAACACATCCAGGAAAAGAAATTTGAGGAAGCTCTTGTCATCTTGTGCTTTCTTTAATCTTTGTGGAAAGGGAACAGGGGGAACATAGGGTTTTACCTTTTCCTGTTCTTCTAAGTTAATGATAGGCACCTTTGTTTGTTCTATTTCCTCTTTTTCTTTCCTTGGTGGTTCATCTAATTGTTTTCCGCTCCTCAAAGTAATAGCCTGCACTTGTTCTTTCGGATTCTTTTCCGTATTGCTAGGTAACGTACCTTGAGGTCGAGATGCCATCATGTTTGCAAACTGCCCTAGCTGAATTTCCAAATTTCTTATTGCGGCCTGCTGGATTTTATGGTTCTCTCTAGTTTCATTCATGAATTCCATGTGTGATTTGGAAAGAGCAGTGAGAAGGTCATCATGGGAAGAATATCTTTTCAGGAGGGTGGAAAACCTGGGTGTGTTGCCCATTCAAGCATTGTTAGGATTACCATAAGATAGAAATTAGGATGATTCCTATAAAACCTGTTATCATAGGAAATCTTGAATAAGCGGTAATTCTTTCTTCCGGTTGAAGTTCATCACATGGAGTTCACTTGCTTCCAAAGTTATTGTGGATTATAAAGAAGTGGCCAGTGATTACATTCATCCAATGCCATGCTGTCCATGCACCTATCACAAACTTGCATGACAGAATTCACCAGGATTAGTAGTTAACATGTCCAATTTCCTTACCATGTTATCTTACCTTGGCTATTAAGTCGTGTAATGGCGTCTATTTCATAGACTCCTGCGGTTTCTTCTTCTTTGGGTATTGTTTGGTATTGGCCTTGTATGCTTTGCCCATCTCTCTATCAACTCATATGCTTCATCCAATTCCTTGTCTTTTCCAAAAGGATCCACCTGCTGCCTGCATCTAAGTAATTTTTATGTGAGGAGATAATGCATTATAGAAGTTTGTTACCTGTAACCACTTGGGCAAAACTGTGATTGTGGGCCACTTCTCTAACAAGTCCTTGATCTTTTCCCAAGCTTCATACAAAAGCTCTCTTGAATCATGATGAGCAAAATGCCATTATCTCATTTCGCAACTTTTGGTAGTTTTTTTGAGGACGTAAAGGAATTTAGCTAAGAATTTTTGAGCTAATTCATCCCATGTGGTGAAACTATCCAGCTGACATGATTGTAACCAGGACCTTGCTTTAGGCCCTAGATGTGAATGGAAAAAGTCTTAATTTGATGCAATTTCTTCAGAAACCACCGTTTTGGCTGAATGTGTCACCAAAATTTCCACAAAAAGTGGGTATGTGATGCAATTTAGCAATCTTCACTAGGCAAACCTCCCTATTGGATCGAGGTAGAGCAGCATTGGATAATTGCGGGTTTAATCCTCAAAGTTGTTAGCTCTCTACCCTGGGTCTAGGTAATTACTTGAGGTTTGTCCCATTCAGATTAGGTGTTGTATTAACTCTTCTCAAACGGTACGCGGGACCGGCCATGTTGAAAGTGAAGTGGTGGTCCAACTATGTTCTCATTTATGTTTTCGTTTTCGTTTTCGTTGGCCATGTCTGCTTCTTGTTCGGGTTTTATTTCCCGTGTTTTTCTTGCAGCGTTGTGCTTACGACAAGTTCGTTCAATTTCCGGATCAAAGATTAGAGGTTCAGTCCTCCTCGATCTTCTTTGCATAAAACACCTGGAATAATTCTTAGAAGAGAATTAAATAAAAATAAAAAGAGTGTCTAAATTAACAATAGGGTAATTCGTATTGATATTGATACGCCAATCCCCGGCAACGGCGCCAAAAACTTGACCTGGGGACAGCGTTTTTCGCAAGTGTTACGAAATCGCAACAAGTAATATAGAGTAAGAGAGTATCATATCCACAGGATTGTTTATTCAAGTTACCAAATTTATATGTTAACCTATTATGATTTAGACAACGATAAGAGAGTTCGCTGGTAAGGTAAATAAAATCTTTTAAATTAAAAAAATAGAAGAGATCAAACACCAAAATTCAAGTGAAAAGAAATCAGAGGATTAAGCTTACTAGGGGAATTTGATTCACTTAAATTCTATCCAGCTTATTCTATTAGTTCATTAATCAGCTTTAATTGTTCAAGCAGGAAAAACAAACCCTAAAGGTTTACTAACAAGCTCTCCCAATTATTTTAGCTATTCTAATCCAGTTTAATACCTATTCTTTAATAGTGAAACTAAAACATGAATCAGATGTATTAGGTTTTATGGTTGTTCTGCCGAGTTCACAACTTTAATTAATTTATTTAACTTATGGAAAACCTCCCCTATGAGTCAAACCATATAGCGTTCCGCCATCAACTTGTTATGTGTATTCTCAAGTAAATTATTATTTCTTTTTCATATCAATAAACCCTTCTCCCGAATGTAGTTATTGAAATAACTCAATCCAGGGGAAAATTTTCTGCATGGAAGGCATTAAGCACAATAATAATTATTATTAACGAGAACAAAGAAAAACCAAATCTAATAATTATTAAACTGGAATCGAATATTATAAACTGGAATCGAATTAAATTACATCAAATCCCTAGTATAAGAGTTTAGCTGGACATAGTAATTAAATTAAACTCAATCATACTTGGAACATTCATCATATTTAAAGACAATAATAAAAGAAAGAAACAAGATGAAGAGTTTAAAATAAAAACTGTATCACAACTATGTTGATGGCTTCCTTGAATCTTGGCACAATTATTTGATGCTTGAAATCTTTGAGGGAGAGAAAGTATTATGTAAAGAAATTGCATAAAAACGAGATCCCTTGCTATGAGAAGTTCCTCTCTTTATATAGAGTTCCTGAAGGCAAGTCTGACTCCTTTTAGGATTTCCTTATTTAGTGGCAAAAAATCCTTTAGTAGGAAGATCATGAACTTGTTTAGAGATTAGAATTTTGATATTCTTCTGATTTAGGACTCCTTTTTCTCTAGAAATAGTCCAGGTCTTGTTTAGTGGTTTTAGGAAAAACTCCCTAACTGAAGTCGGCCCATGTGAGAAAAACTTGATTTGCGTATAAATTTCACGCTGGTTCCGCCTGCGCAGCACGGGCGTGCTTCATGGCACAGGCTGAGTGTGCTTTAGTCTGGAAGTCTGGCCAGTGAAGCACGGGGCGTGCTAGGTAGCACGGTCTAGTGAAGCACTGAGGCACGGGCGTGCCACTTAGCACGGGAAGGGCGTGCTTTTTTCTGGAAGTCTGCCTAGAGCTGCCATGGGCGTGCTATATGACACGCCCTGGTATCCTTGTAGCACGGCCGTGCCTTTTGACACACCCAGACCGTGCTCTCTTCTGTCTTCTCTAGGAAGTCTGCCTAGAGTTGCCATGGGCGTGCCTATGCTTGACCACGCCCTGGTACCCCTTGTAGCACGGCCGTTGCCTTTTGGACACACGCAGACCGTGCTCTCTTCTGTCTCCTCCGTTGGATTCCTTGGCTTCTAGCCACGGTTGTGCCCTTTTAGCACGGTGTTGGCGTGCTTCCAGTTAAGTGCCTCTTGTAGTTATAAAGTTTTCTTTTCTAAGTGCCTTGTGTTATAAAGTTCTTTTCTGTGCCAAATTCCTGAAATTTTCTCTTAGATCAAGCGGATTAAAGATTAAGGAAACTTTTGAACATAATTATATTAAAAGTGATTTAAAGTAATAAAAACTTACTCAAAATCTAATAAAAACTATATTAAAAACACTATAAAATTAACACCTATCAATTTTCTTTTTTGCCTATTAAAATTATGCAACCGAGGAGTATATATATTAATTATTAATTTGTTAAAGTAAATTTATATAATAAGTTACCTATCATACATTATTTCATTTCGAATGATAGTTTTAATGTGAATAATGGGTAGTGATTACATTTTGATTATCTAAACATTAACGACATTAATAGGGGATTCATTGATTTTTGAGCAACTAAGTAGATTAATTAATAATATAATATTTTTTATGCTTGAAGTATTTCTTGAAAATTTCAAATTATAACAAAGAGTTATGTAATTATCTAATTATGATTTAAAAAAAATTATTAAATTACGATTGTGAGGTCAATTTTCCTCAGTATTTATACTATGATTTTTATACTCATCAGCAATTGGATTCAATTGAAATAGCTTTTTACAAGTGAGCAATAAACTGTAATTAATAAACTGTAATTATACAAATCAAGCGAAGAGCCAAACACGGCACATTAGATCAGCTCACACACGCACTAAAATATCTCTATTTTTTGCTTTACTCTGGCATCGCCTCACTTTTCTCTCTTTCCCACTTCCACTCACTCACTTTCTTAAAGCTTCTTTGAAGTTTCTGTGATGATGACTCTCAAATCTCAGTGGTTTAGCTTTATATATACTCTTCTACGTTTTATAAAACTCGCCCTTCTACGGCTTCTTGTGTCATTTGAACTTTCCGTTATGGGTTCTTCTTTCCCTTCTTCTGCTTCAACCTCTTCCCAGCTAACCCCTTCTTTTATCATTAATGCCAATGCTGCTTCTTCTCCATCCTCAACCTCTTCCCATCAAATCCCTTCCGAGCTTAATAACTATGAAGTTTTTATTAATTTCAGAGGCATAGACGTCCGTGATGGTTTTCTATCCTTTCTCTTTGAATCTTTGAAGGAAAAAGGAATCGATACCTTCAAAAATGAAAACCTTCAAAAAGGAATTGAAATGACACCAGCCCTCAAGCAAACAATTCAAGAATCACGTATTTCCATTGTCATATTCTCCAAAAACTATGCAGATTCTCCATGGTGCTTGGACGAGCTTGTTGTGATAAATGAATGCAGAGAAAAGTCAGGGCAAATAGTTTTGCCGGTTTTTTACCGTGTAGATCCAACTGATGTTCAAGAGCTGAGAGGCCCTTTAACTGATGCTTCAAGAGCTGGAGAGGCCCTTTCGCAAGGGGCACTTGCTAGGCTTTAAAAGATCACAGCGATAGTTCACAAAACCCAACTGGGTGGGATTGGTGCCATGCTTTGAAGGACAATTTCAGCAACGACTTAGTGCTTTTGCTTTTCGAATGAGATCAAGTAAAGTTAATCATTTTCCCCTGTTTACTTTTCCATGTCTTTTATTCTTCTATTTCATTTTCCATGTCTTTTTATTTTCTATTCATCAATAATAGATCAATCTTGCGCACACGATAGATGGCTTTTAGTCACGATATCTACTCCTTTGAACTCTCACTTATTTTAATTTTCTTGTCAAAATTCTGTTTCGTTTTCTCCTATTCCTTCAATCATGGGTTTTACCCACCCAGTTTTTCCAAACACTTAAATTGATTCTATTCTAGAATATATTAGTTTTGGCTTACTTTTTATTTTTCATATGTGATCAGCAATGACCAAATGCTAGTTCAAAGAATCGTCAATCGTGTTTCAGAGATATTAAGTCATATGCCATCAAATGCTAGTTACCATCATGGCAAGTTAGTTGGAATTGATTCGCGTGTCGAGGAAGTAATATCGTTATTGGATATTGATGTAAATGACAGAAATTGGATAATAGGAATTTGGGGAATGGCTGGAATTGGAAAGACAACTATTGCCGGTATTGTGTTTTCCCAAATCAAGGCTAAATTTGATGCCTACTGCTTTGTTTTAAATGTCAAGGAACAGATAAGGAAGGAAACAGCAATTGTTTTACGGGATAAAATCATTCGTTCACTATTGGGAGAGGAAAATTTGAAAATGGGCTCACCTCTTTTAGTTTTAGATGACTGGATTTGAGGAGGCATGCAACGTAAGAAGTTTTTCGTATTGTTTGTATGACGTTGTATGATTCATTGTTTTTGATGACGTTGATGATTCACACGATTTAGATCTTCTAGCTGGAAACTGTAGTTTGTACCGTAAGGGAAGTAGAATAATTATTACTAGTACAGATGGACAAGTACTTCGAAACGTTTGCCATGAAGAACATATTTATCAGGTTGAGGGATTAATTGATAAGGAAGCTCGTCAACTCTTTAGCTTGCACGCTTTCCATCAAAATGAACCGAAAGAAGGATATGTGGAGCTATCCGAGCAGGTGATAAGTTATGCTCAAGGCAATCCATTAGCACTAAAAGTTTTAAGCTCTAGCCTTTATGGCAAGAAGAAAGAGTACTGGGAGAGCCAGTTGCTCAAATTGAAAAGCATACCGAACAAGAGAATTCAAGATGTTCTAAAACTAGGTTATGATGGGTTAGATAGAAATGAGCAGAGCATATTTCTGAATATCGCATGTAATGAGCAGAGCATATAAACAAATGTCATTTATATCATTTTTCTTTATTGCTCTTCTGTAATTTTCTTTGATATGATGTTCGTTTAAAGACTTCGCAATTATGGATTTTTATTACCAAGTTAATTGATATGATATTGATAGGAATATTTATAACCTTTTTGTCAAAAATATTTTCGAGACCTTTCACTCTACATATTTTTTATATTTTGTAGAAAGATCGATCAGATCATAACTGAATGGTGTTAAATTTTAATGTTTGATTAGTACTTTATCAGAAAAAATAAGTTTTTAGCATTTATGTCTTATCTTTACTTTTTTACATTCATGACTGTATTTTCTCGTCTCAAAAGTTGAAAAAAATTAGATTTCTATTGAAAATAAGAGATTTTAAAATTATATAACAATATTTCTTTGTTCCAAAATATAATTTATTTTTGTGTGATTATTTTGTTACAAACTATAAATTGTTTTGAGCATTTTAAGTAATAATAAATGATTTTTTTCAATGTTAACCTTATAGAATAACTACTTTCACAAGAGTAACTATTTGACTAAATTATCATTGATTTTGTTATATTAGGAACATTAATTATTTCCTTGATCCTTGTAAAAAAACTTAAATATCTTTTATTTTGGGACAGAGGAAATAATATTAATTGTCATAATTATGCTATTTAATATCTTTTTTTTGTTATATTAGGAACATTAATTATTTCCTTGATCCTTGTAAAAAAACTTAAATATCTTTTATTTTGGGACAGAGGAAATAATATTAATTGTCATAATTATGCTATTTTCTTAGAAAATTTTTATGATTATCTTACTATAGTTAATAATTTCTTGGAATTATATTTTTTTTGGAGAATATTTTTCCGTAAAAAATTGAATTTTGATGAATAAATTCATCTTACCTCATAATAATTGAAATATTCAATTTTATTTAATTTATTAGATTTCAAAAAAAAAATACTAAATCAAACTATTAGGATAAACTTGCAAATTTTACAGTACGAAGGATCTTACATGCATGATGAGTTCGGGGTTGGGACAAATTGGGCTGAGCTAAACTCTCATGCAGGCTCAAGTGCCTATATTGGATCAAAAAATAATCGTATCGTGCTATTGCTATCAATCTATTACTTAATAGTTATACTCACGATTGAGAGTTATAATTCTTCTTAAGTGAAAAGGTTTTTTTTTACTTCTATTAAAGTGCAAGTATTTTCACTTTTCTGAAAATTGAAGTCGCTTATCACTTCAAAAAATACATTGTTGATGGTATTTATTTAATAAATCTAATAGCGAACAATTAAACAAAAAAAAGATTACAAATGTCTTCTTACTAAAAAATAAAATAGCAATAAGGGTAACTAAATAATCTTTTCTTGTAAGGAGAACCAGTTTTGAGTCTTTTCAAACACAAAAGTATTTGCTAATTATTATGAAATTGTAAAGATATTTCTAAGGTGACTCGTGACTGAATGGAGCAAAATTTGTATCATATATAACTAAATAGCGGGCCAAAATAGTAAATATAACATTGCAAAGATAGGTCAATGGTTAAAAAGAAATGACCAAAGGAACAATTGAACATATACATAGAGGAAGGGACGTGAGAGAGGCACATGCATTTGTCCAATTTAGTCAAAGTTTATATCTTTTTGGTTCAAAAAATTCACTCTTTGATAAAGGTGAAAAAAAGAGTGTTTGGTAGACCCTTTTTTATGGCCTTCCCAACTTCTTTGTAATTTTTTGTTTTGTTTTCATTAAAATTATAAGCATTTTTAGGGTTTCTTAGAGGGAAAAAAATGTCATGGTTAAGAGAAGAATATAACAAAATAAGAATAAAAAAGGTGTAGCAATATAATAAAAGAGGAGAGAGAGATGAGAGGAAGAAGACGTAGCTCTAAGATGAGATTTTTTATAATTTTTCATTGTTTGGGAGAGAGAGATGAGAGGAAGAAGACGTAGCTCTAAGATGAGATTTTTTATAATTTTTCATTGTTTGGGGCATTCAAGAAAATAAGTAAAGAGAATTTATTTTCTTGGTTAAAGAAAAATCAAATCATTTTGAAGGAAAATGACTTCTCATTTTTAAGACTTTAAAATATTTTTCTGACATTAAAAAACTTATTATAACTTTATAATTTTTAATTTATTAACCATCGGTGGCTATTACTATCAATTACCATTCACCACCGGTGGATACCATCGTCCACTATCACGGTCATTGACATCTTTTATAATTTACTTTTTTCTGTATTCTTCTCATATTTAATAATAAAATTTTTAAAATATGAAATTTCTATTACTATTATTAATATTTTTATGCTCTTATGAGTTAAATTTTAATATTTTTAACTTATTTTTAATATTACAACTAAAAAACGAAAAAAAATCATTTGGAAAGTATTTTTCAAGGAAAAACATCATGTCTTCTGAAAATAAATGTAACCTAAGTCGTTATGTCTTTTCTTCCTCCTTCCATATATAAGTATAAAATATTTCCTTAATTTCTTTTTTGACTATTGCATTAATGGGGTTCATATTGTGTCTTTCTTCCCCCCTTTTCCTCCCACCTTCCATGCATAAGAATAAGATATTTCCTTCAATTTTCTTTTTTGACTATTGCAATAATGGTGTTCATATTGTATCTTTCTTCCCCCTTTTCCTCCCTCTTTTCATGTATAAATACAAAATATTCTCAATAATATACAAAATATTCTCAATAATTTTCTTTTTTTGCTATTAAATTATGGGAACGCAGGAATATATATATTAATATTAAATTTGTTAAAAGTTAAATTTATATAAAAAAGTTAACTATCATTAACAATATATTAATTATTAATTTGTTAAAGTAAATTTATATAATAAGTTAACTATCATACAATATATCATTTCAAATGATAGTTTTAATGTGGATAATGGACAGTGATTACATTTTGATTATCTAAACATTAATGACATTAATGGTGGATTCTTTGATTTTTGAGTAATTAAATAAATAAATTAATAATATAGTATTTTTTATACTTGAAATATTTCTTGAAATTTTCAAATTATGACCAAGAGTTATGTAATTATCTCATTATGATTTAAAAAAAAATTATTAAATTACGATTGTGAGGTCAATTTTCCTCGGTATTTATACTATGATTTTTATACTCATCAGCAATTGGATTCAATTGACATAGGTTTTACAAGTGAGCAATAAATTGTAATTATACAAATCAAGTGTATTCATTGTTAATTGAAATAGGTTTTATGGAATCTTTTACTTTTGATAGTTTAGATTTTTCAAGTGTATTCATTAATTTATTTTTTAAAATTTGAATTGTTGTAGAATCAGAAATGGAGATTTGGAGAGAAGAAGAGGGATAGTGGTTTTAATTTTTATCTTATGAAAGAGGTGTTTTAGCCTTTCACTAGTAATTTAACGGGTAAAAATCACTATAATTAAACAGAAAGATCATTTGATGAGACAAAACCAAATTTTAAAGACTACATATCCAATATATAAAAATACGAGAATGAAATAATTAATTTTCTAAAACTTCAGGGACAAAATAATTATTTTTTCATTGTTAATTAACGATTTAAAAATTCTAAAACAGTTGAGGGTAAGAGTTATAAAAATCTAGAGAATCATAGATTTTCTCGTTCTTTATGTTATAACAACTGCATAATAATACTCGGCCATCCGCCATGTACATATTTCAGAGGAACAATTTCAATATGGCCTTCACTTAAATGGAGAAAAGGTCACGATATTGTATAATAAATAAATAAATAAATTTGAGTTTAATATTTTTAAAAATAAAAAATTAATCAAGGATAAAAAAATTGTGAATTATTAAATTTATTTTTGATTTTTGTAACACTGCTTGAAACTTTTTAAAAAAAAATACATAAATTTACACTGGGTGTAGGAGGCCGAGTCCTGTGGTGTTGCTTATTATAGTTTCCGAGTTCTTATCATATTAGTTTATGGAACTTAATATTTGCCTTTCTCTTCTAAATTTAATTTGATAACAAAAGCAATTATGAGAATATTATTTATTTAATTTATTAAAGTATCAACGTGATCAAAGATAGGCCTCAAAACTTTTCCTTCAAAAAAAAAAAAAAAAGACTTCTATCCAGTAAGTCACCTTCATAATTTAAGGCACTCAAAAAAAGACTTCTATCCAGTAGTCAAACCTCATAATTTAAGGCACTCACACAAACCCTCCCCCCCAAACACTAATGGGAGACACGTCAGTGGAGCCCAGCCTAAGACGCGTGGGAGAGGGACATGCATGTTGCATATGTGCAATTTAGTCAAAGTTTATATCTTTTTGTTTCTTTTCTTTTGGTTAAAAACATGTATGTCCCTGTTGAAGGTGA